CCCCAAAACCCCAAAACCCCAAAACCCCTAAATGAAAATGTGAGTGAAAATTAATATGATAAATATATTGAGATTTAAAATATAATCTAAATTTAATGCTGAATATTGCCAAAGTAATATCTACTATAACTTTACTCCTGACAACTATTTTTTTCCATTTATTTTAAAAATCGCATTGCATGCATATATAAGATGGTTAAAAATAGTAAAGTTTAAATGGTTGACAATTTAAAATGTCAGAAAACAAATATATTAATTTCTAAAATCCTTTTGAAGTATCTGGAGAATATTTAAAATCATACACCTACGAATTTTACATGAGACTATAAATTCCTGAATAATCATCCTTAGACAATTTTTCAAAATAATAAGAAAGAAGCTATATTTTTGCTTGTGACTAGCATTCAAATGTGCAATTTGATGAGAAAAACTTGATATTTTAGCAAGCTGGAGGGATCTAAATTTAATACGATTTTAATAGAAGTGACAGAACTTAAAATTTATTATATAAATGGCGATTGTACACATTTTCCTTCTAAAACAGAGAAACATAAAATAATGATTAGGCTTACATGAGAATTCTAATAGATGGTATTGTTTCAATTGAGAAATCATTCAAAACATTGCCTACTCTTGATATGTAGAAATACTCGTAAGGCAAATGTGTAGTAGGTGATGCTAATTTATAAGATGATTTCTTTGCAAATAGATTAAAGGCTGAGATCAGATTCTTTTAGTATTTTTTAACTTCTAAGACTTAAAAGCATTATTTATCTTACTTTACAGTCCTAAACGATCAAAGATAATTCAATATTGACCTTTATTTCTGTTTTTAATAGAGTAAACTGAATTCAAAGATGTCATTGAACTTAGATTATGATAAAAACATGCAGATCTTAGAACAAAATATTACCAGAGTGGAATAATTTTTAAAAGAAGATTAATCGAATTTATGTAATTAATCTACCATTAAAATTATGAATATCACCAAAGGAAATATTGAAATAAGTGTAAGATAGATTGAAACAAATCATAATATTTAAAATGGTATTTTTTTGGACTTTTGGATAAAAAAATAACTAGAATTAGAAAAAAATGGAAGTGATACATTTTAAAATATGATTTTTACAGCTGAAAATTAAAAAAGAATCAAAGTTTTGAAAAACAATATTTTTTTATTAATTGGAAATAGTTAAAATGAGATAGTAATTGATTAAAGCTAAATTTAAAATGGAAAAAGAAGCCACTATGCTTTAAATGTGCTTTAAAATAACATTGTCGAAGTATATTAAGATGGATCCAAAATTTCGAAACATCAATTTGAGGATATTTTCAAAAAAAATTAAATTATTACAATTCTTAGCGATGCTTCATTCCTAATGTCAAAATTAAGAATATTGAAACATTCAGATAATTTTGACATAGAAGAAATGCTTTCTCAAAACTCTTTGATATCCGATGGTTTTGAAAGTAAGGATATCATCGATAATTTAAATATCACGACTAATACTGGATTTTAAGATATGCTTTTGCCAAAAAATTCTAGCACGTAATCTTTTGATTTACCAGCCATTACAAATTAAGAGCAAAAATGCTTATATAGTGGAAATCTTAATTTAATAAATAATAATTGTAGTGAAGAAGACTTATCTCTAAAGCTTTAGAGCAATCAACAAGAGGACGACTGCAAGGATAATAACTCTTTCCCGATGTTTAGAAGCACTCCTGAGTAATAAGGATAGATGGATCTTGTGTTTTAAGCAAAAGCAAAAACAATTAATGAGCAATTAACTATAGAATTTTGGTTTTACTACGAAAGAAATCCATTATCAAATAGTAGCTATATTTATTCTTTTCTCAAGCATTACAGCTCACTTGATGAGAGATTCAAAGTTGAAATTATTTTTAACAATCCGAGCAATTTAGACTCATTAATGATAGGAATATATGACTAAATTGACTAAGAAATTTACTTCAATGAGTCATTAAAAGAAAAAAATTGGTATCACTTTGCAATGTCAATTGGTTCTAAAGATATTGGGGCATTTTTTTATTTATATGATCCCTCCACCCAGTTAACCAAATAATCATTTTTGAGAGTGAACTTTCAAAATCCTAATCACAACATTGCAAAAACTTTTCTTGGAAGTGATAGAGAAGGCTATAAAAGAATGGTAGGATCACTGCAGGAGTTTAGAATATGGTTTGAATCCAGACAATTTAAATAAATCGAAAGTTATAGATACTTAAAAATATCAATAAATGATTAAACTAACACACTGCTATACTACATTTAATTTTCCTGTACAACTCCGTCAACTTTATTAAAAAATCTGATAAATGATGATGATGAAACCAACTACATAGTTAACTTCCTATTACATGATTCACCTTTAAGATAAGAATAATTTGATGAGAAAAATCTCTTAAAAATCTGTGAAGAAGGTACTTATTATTCACCTGCTAACAAAATTTGCATTTAACCAACTGATATTGCTTTTAAATTAGAGTATTATGTAGAAAATGAATAGCTTATAATTGATTCTAATGTGAAATTTGTTAATGATGACTAATCATCATACTAATTAGATTATGAGTTGATAGGAGTTACACCATTCTATTAGGAAATACTTGATTTTAAACAAATACTATTTTCCCATTCTAATGTAAACAGTTTTAGTATTCCTTTAATTGCTTTGAATGATGAATATATTTATCAAGTATAGCTAAGCATTTATAATAGATACTTAGATAATTAATCATCATAGATTTAGCAAGTTTTTATTGATTTAAAATGCCCACAGCTTTCATTTACAAATTATGTAGAGTCTGAAAGCACAGTTTACATATACAATTAAAAAAACACAATGCACAAAATAAAGCTTTTCAACAAAAAATCTTGCTTCTTAGATCAACAACAATTCTATTATAATTGGACAATTTATTCAGACCAGAGTACTTACGACTTATTTAATATTCTCGATATTACCTTGTCAAATTAGAATTAATAGATAAATATACTCCAACAAAATATCGAGATTTAAAATCTATATGAATTTAAAGCAAATATATCCTTTGACTTCAATAACTCAAGAATTTCTAAAGTTTAGACATTCAACAAAACAGTTACTTTTAGATTCGTTTAAGACCCAGTTATTATAGTATTACCTAGATTAGAGTACATATAATCGAATAAAGAATTTTTTGTAATCAATATATCAAAGTCTTTCGTAATATTTCCAGGAAAAGAAGGAAGCTAACTTGATTATTATATTGAATATATTCCAAATGAACCACATGGCTGCTTACGTGCAATTACTAAAAATGATTTAGGAGTCCTAATTTTTGCTCCACCATTATTATGTTACAGCCTATAACAAGAGATGAGTCATTTAATAAATTATAAATTTGAAGTCTGGCCAAAACTTGATGAATCATAGAAATGCAAAAAGTATATTAATGTAACTCTGCTTTTATCTGGATTCCATAGAAATAAATGCCCATCAATCTAGATAGACACCTAAATTAATATCTATTAGTCAAGTTTTCCCTAATATATTGTTCCATAGATATCTTTAAGTTGCGAAATGCTTGGATATTATACTACTTACAAGATCTATAAGATTGACTGGTTGATGAACCTTTCAAATATTTCTTGGATTCTTGAAAAAGAGTAGATTACTAATCCCACTAGCATGACATAAGAGCAAATTTCTTAGTTGAGCTAAAAATACCTCGATACATTTCTAAAACCTATTTATGATTAAAATATAGAAGTAGAGTTACTATAAAGCTTAATAAAGATTATGAAAATAGGAGAATTTTTTGATTTAAGTATTACAGTATATACAAAAAATCTCTAGACTGATTCAGTATAGGTTGTGAATATAAGTACACAAATTATAATGATTCAGAGCAATTTCGTTCTTTAATTATAAACAAACAATGAAAACTTTGAATATAACTATGATGAAACTATCATTCTTAATGCTACTGGAACTTATAATCCTTTATATATAAATGATAATCTTGATATGTTTTGGACATGCCCTAAGCCAGAAACAATAAATGGTACTGTTTGCTCAAATGAAACAAATACTAAAAATATTTCTATATCTCCTCTATTAAGGTTTTAATATAATTGGAAATTTGACTACTAATATACTATAATACTAGCTGTCTAGATTACTGGTACTGAATCCCCCTAATTGTTTTATATCAATGTTTTAGTTAGATCTCCACCTCACACAGACAGCATTGAATTATGCCCAATTTTTGAGTTTACTGGTAATGATTTTTACATGAGGAAAATAGATAATAATGATTATTCCTATTATCTTCATCAACTAGATCAAGATATTTATATAGCCCCTCCTTATTATGCAAATTGTGATGGATCATAGTATACTTTTCTTAGTTCTTTCCTTGATGATCCTTAAAATATATTATTCAATAATTCTAAATTCGTTAATGAATATCAATCTCAAGGATTTCAACATTTTGGTTTGAGGATTACCTAAACCATTTAAGATCAAATGTTTTAAAATAATACTAATTGGTACACTCTTAATGCTTTTTTGTTTTACAGTGATAATACAGGAAAGTTATTTGCATAATAAAGGTATATAACATTTATAAAAATTGACAATAATCATGATTTTCATTTAATAGCATCGCTAAAGAAGACTTAGCAAATGATAGCTTAAAAAGATTATCTATTCTTAGATGCTTCTTAATCCAGTTATGCACCAGAATTTATTAAAAGAAATTTCTTGTATAGATGGATATGCCCTGTAGAATTCGATGAATCTCTCATATGTAAAACATCGAATTCGACTTTAAATATTAGTTATGATATCAGAACAAAATTGGGATATAATGAACCAGGAAGTTTAATTAAAATAGGAGTGTAAGTATATTTCCGGAATTATATAGAGTCTCAAATTCTTTAAAGCTATACCTTGATTTAGCCTAATTCTCCTACGAATGAATGCATAGAAATTAAAGAACCTCTGTATACAAATATAATAGACCCTTATTTTAAGCAACCTTTGCTAAGATCTTTTAATATTACAAGTTATTGTTTTGGATTATAAATAAAATAGATGGCAACAAAAGCAAAATCTTAAAGTATTGATAAATTTTCTCAGACTTTGAATTTCTATTAAATTATTGGATAAAAAAGGATCTAAACTATCATTTATTACAATTCTGAGCAACTTGAGCAATCTCAAAGTTAATAGTACGTTCTTGATCAATAGGTAAGCTATACCATTGAAAATCAATATTTTATGGACGTGAAATTTTAAGATACTATTAATGTCCTTAAAAGTCAATAGACTTTAAACATTTAGTAATTCTACCTTGATGGGCCAGCTACATTTGACTTTGACACAGATTTCTCACTCTAAATAAATCTAAAATCATTTGATCCTAGCACTAATATGGAATAATTATCAATTTAATGGTAATGTGATAGCAGATTAAAAGTAGATTCAATTTGCTAGAGCTAAAATTTACCCTTATTCAATTTATATAGGGGCTACTTCAGAGATTATTAGAATCTTATTGGCCAAATTCTGAGATTTGATGCTATAGTTAATGGATTTTAATACTCATTCCACAGTCACTATATTTCTTAAGTTAATCAAGCTTTACCAAAGGATTGCTATATTATGAGCAATTAAGAAAATCCAATTAATATTTCTCGATCTCTAATTCTTTCATTAAGCTGCTCAGAAAATATTGATAAATTGTTATAGAACTTTTCCTATAAGTGGGAGGTAACATCTTATATTATTTCATAATAGAATGCTCAGGGAAATTATCTGAAAATAAAACCTTATCAACTACAATAAAATATTGTTTACTATGCCAATATAACTATTACTTGTAATAAATTAGGGGAATAATTTAAAATGGCCAGAATAATCAATACAACGCAACCTATAATTCCTTAAGTTATTTAAGTAGGAAGTATTAATATGTCACCTAATTTTGGTTACTATTATATTACTAATTTCTTGCTGAGTTTCAATGATAATTGGGGCACAATTCCTAATAATAATTATAAGAATCTTAATCTATTTTACTCCGTAATAATATAAATTGATGATTAAACTGATATTTACTGGCAAGCAATTAAGTTTATGGATAATCAATTTATCTTTGATTATGAACTTCCAATTTACCAAAAAATATTTGTTGAAGTTAGAAACAATTATAATAATATCTATCAACAAGAAATAAGCAGTACAAGTATGGAGTTAGATCAAGCTATATCAGTTGATACACTTTTTGATCAAAAATATTCAGAACTAATGTTAAAAAATGATTCCTGATCAAGTTTAAATTTAATAATAAGTTGCATTCAACTAGCTAGTAGATCCACATAAAATTAGCAGACTAAATATTCTTAAATATTTGAGTAACTTGTGCATTTATACAATCAGGTGATTTCAAATGATAGAGAAAACTACTGCTTGATAGAATTGCAATGCTTCCAACTAAATTTTAACTTTCTATAAATTACATCGTTGCTACTTTAAGAGCTCAATCCTAGTGATATAGAATTAAATAGGGATCATATAATAGATATTTTAGCTTTTGCACTTGAACACTATTAAATTTTGGAAATAGATCTTAATCAGAGTATTGAAAATAAAATTTATACCATATTAATGCAACTTAAAATTGATTAAATAACAGCATCCTTAAGTTAAGACTAAAAAATTAAGCTTAACTTGATTAAAAGGAGATAAATTGAGGCGAAAATCTATTGGTCTCTCCCAAGTTAAAATCAATCAATTTAATAAGAAAGTATTGATCTTAATATAATTAGTCTAATTGATATTAATTCAAAGCAAATTGTAAAGGATTCGCTGCAAATCTACATAAATAACAAGACTATTTATCAATTTTTGTAAAGTAATTTCAAACCCAAGTATTATGAAAATCAAACATATAATAATAATTTAAAGCTTCCTTATTCCAACAGTATGAAAATTTTATCCTCAGTTATGAAAATAAATTAAATGGATTAAAAACCAATGGCTATTTATCTTGTGGAAAAAGTATTAAGTTTGAACTTGCATAATGATAAAGGCGATACCTTGAATGTGACATCTATCGATCCGATATTTATGACATTTGAATACAACTAAAATAAAGGAACCAGGATAGATGATGCTCTATGTGTATATTTAGAGGAGCAAACTTAGAATTGGTCTACATAAGGAATGAAAACAAAGATTTTAGACTCTGACAACTAAATTCAATGCACAACTTAACACCTTAGCCTCTTTACAGTTATTTCAAATAAGAATGAATATTATTTGGATGAAAACAACACTTTTTATGAAGAAAACAAACCAAGGTTTATAATAATAGTAACTAGTTTGGGATTTATTTTTTCTCTAGTTCAAATATTAGCATTTTACTAATTCGGCTAATATAAAAAAATTAAAGAAAACAAAACTATATCTATAATTTAAAGTCTAGATTTACCAGATACATCAATAGATTCAATTAAAAATGAAAATATTCAAGTAGAAGGAGAGAAATTTTAGGGATTTCTTGGAATATTCAGAATTTTTATCGTATAAAGCAATTCATTTTTCAGTCTATTCTCATACAAGCATAAAATTATTTTCATTTTAAGATGCCAATCCTTCTTTGGAATCATTTTTTCTTATGGAATCATTGCAGCAATATTCTATTTTTTACGTTCTCAAGAGATAAAATTTAGAATATCAAATGATGAAAATTTTGATAGATTACTATTTGCAATATTCGCACTATTTCTAATGCATTATCCCTTAAACAGGCTTGTAGTTTATATTTATAATATGGAAAAAGCGAGTAAATAAAAATTTAAAATACAAAGTAAATAAGTTTATAGCAAAGTTGAACCTTAAAATACTGCCTAGGAAAAATAAGTTGATAATTTATTATATAATGCTGATAATTAGAAACTTCAACTTAATACTAATGAAAAATTTGAATAAATGGAAAATTTTACAGAAAATGGTTAGATAAATACAAAAGCAAAAAGAAAGAGATCATCATCTACATTTGCTGTTGACTAAATTGACCCATTAGAGACTAATATAATAAGTAACTCAATTGAATTTGAAGTATAGTGTAAATTACCGCAAGCATTAATAAGTAAATCCTTGAAATAAACTTAAAAAGATTCACTTTCAATCGCAGACAAAATAAATCTGGAAAGATACAATATTCAAAATACAAGCTAGACTGATATACTGAGTACTTATAATGGTAACTTCAATTTTGAAACCTAAAGTGCACAAAATTTGGATTAATCACAATAATCAATAGCTTAGACATCTGTTGTATAGACTGAAGAAAACAATAGAAATTACGAGGAAATTATTGAAGTCTATAATAAAAGCGTTATTGAGGAAGCCAATGAGACAATTTTGAGCGAAAATACTTAATCTAAACACTCATAATCTATAAAGGGGTCATCAGACTATTACAAAAAGAAACTCTAAAATTAAAAATCAATCTACAGAGAAATTAGAAAAAAGTGTATAGTGATGGCTATAATCAATTTAGTAGGATTCACAATATGTTCATCATTATGTGCTTTTATGTACCCATTAGATATTCTGGCTTTTGCAGTTTCTATAATCTTCATGATTATTATGATTGGATTAATATTGGTAAGAAATTTGATTAAAAATGAGATTTCAAAAGATTAAACTTGTTTCAATAAATTTGCAAGATTATATTTAACAAAGACTCGATTCGACATGGTTTATTAACTGATAATAGAAATATCACAAGTGAAATTTAGAATGAATATCAGAAAATTATGAGTATTATTTATTAATTTATATTAAAAAATTAACTATTTTTAAATTATTGACTTAAGGGGTTTTGGGGTTTTGGGG